GCCAACAGAAATGAGAAGTATGACATTTTAATTTATAGATGAAATGATAGCAACAATACATTTAATTTGATCGAGTCTTCCATGGCGCTTTATTTTCATGTTTTCCTAAGTTGTTTTTTTTCTCTTAAATTTGTGAAGAGATTTCTTTTTTACAGGGGCAACAGAAACAGCGCGCAATTTAAAGCAAAATCAAACCAAACAAATATGTAGAACTTAAGCTGACGTAGAATGGTACTCTTTCACTCAGCTGCCAATGTTAAGTTGCAACCTGAATGGATGAATAAAATAAATTACAAACTAACGGATTGAAACTCCACATCCTAATCTTCCTTGCAATACCTAGTACAACATCAGAAGTATTAATGGACTCGACTTAAAAATTGCTTCTCTTAATACCTGCCTTTTGCTGTCCAATGAATTTATGTACAAAAATATATGGCATTCCAAGCGTTCTATGAGAAAACATTCCTGCTAATAAAATGATTGAAAAAGAGTGGTACAGTACTATACACAGAAACATACTTCTGGAAATACAGCAGACCAGAAGGTCTAACATTTTCATTTGGAGTCAGACATTAATTATCTGCATGTCATCAAAAGCCTAATTTTAGGTATCTACCGTTCATTTTTTTTTTTTTTAAAACAGAAAAAAATTAATTAAGCCAAACTGTTAACGAGTCTGTGAACTAAGACTAAACTAAATTTACCACTTTTAGCCCCAACTTGCATACAGCGATACATCAAAAGGCTCATAAATAAATCAAAACAGGCTAAATTCATTAAAAGATTGATCATTTCCTTATAGGAATCCACAATCAACTAAAAGAAAAATTAGAACAGCAACATACTAAAGAGTCAGCAATAATTTAACAACCTGCCTGTTTTTTCATTTCCTCAAGACCAAAATGAATTTGAAATTTTTACCAAATCAATAATGGACGCTAAATAAAGATAAGGTGATGTTCAGGACAGGAACTGAAAACTTTTCAGATCTACTGACTGCCTATTTCAATGTATTGCGGTGTATATCAGTTTCTTTTTTGTTGACCACTTATTTTAACAGGATGTGTTCTAACAAAGTAGTACAGATTTTTTTAAACAAACACAAATCTATACTATAAGGGAAAAAATACATTTCATAATCGCACACAGTTTTTGACCTCTCACTGGTTTCAGCCATCTCACATGATTACCCAAAAACATTGTCCACTATTCAAACTATCACTGTATTATTGTTGCACTATATATGTATCAAATGTGACTAAATCCAATTTTCTGAGACTGATGATATGACCAAGGAACATGATGAATACTAAAGACACAAACGAATGTTAATTCAATGGGAAATTAAGTGATTGATAAAAAAAACAAGATGAAAGTTAACGCCCCATTTTTTTAATTAATTTAATTTTGTAAGGGTTTTTAAAAAATACAAAATGTATGGGTTGAAGAGAATGGCAGAGCAGCTGAAGGCCTTTTGGACATCATCTTTCGATGGCCTTGGGCATCAATTAATTGCAATAGTTTAGCTCTGAGCAGTGGCTGCATTATTGGGCAGAGTGGCCATATTGGAGGACATAACTGGGGAGCTGGACGATCCTACGGTACTGGTGATAGATGAACCTGGAAAAAAACAAAATCAAACATTTTCTTATTTTTCTCTGAAATAAATGAACATTTGTGAAGAACCTAAATATTATTTAGAAGTTCTTCATAAAATGGGTAATCATGAGACAATACAAATAAATTCTTAACTTTAACCTCTTCAATGCCTAACCCACCTATTTTCATATCTGCCATTTGCTGAATTAAGGATGTATATACAATGATAAAATTTGGCTTATTATAGTATAAAGATTATAATTTTTTTTACATTTTAAATATATGTTTCCAAATGTTACGTTCTTTGCTAATGCAGATGTAAGGGTTTACATCAAAACTAGTTTAGGCAGGAGTGGATGAAATGGTAAAACAGTCTTTTCACTATCAAAATAAAATTGTAAGTCTTTTACAGTCTTGTCATGATGACCTTTTGTGATGGTACCACAAATAAAATGTTTCAACCAGTAGATATTTTGGCATCAAAGAAACAAACTTAAAGCTCTCCTAATCTAATTTTTTTTTTTGATGCACATGAAATTACGAAGGAAGGGGAACAAACCTGAATGATCCATACACGTTTAAACATTTATAAGCTAGCTCATTTCAGTCAGTTATTCTTATTTAGCACCAAGCAAACTTACGCAAATAGTGTATATATTTTTAATTCTGAAGATGAACAAATGTCAAAAGCAGGCAATGCAACAAAAGTAAATAAGATCATGCCAAAAAACAAAGGGAAAGACTGTAACGGAGACATTTCAAAATGAATGAAATGAAAAGGTGTGTGCAATAACCAAATTTAAGAAAATATTGGCTATATTATATAAGATTAATAGAGATAATTTTGAAATTGATCAATGGCTGAAATAATTATTCAGCATCAGATAGTGTAGCTGCTCATCAACTTTAAAAATGTATAGACACCTAAGCAGAGACTTCAAAAGATTAAATGAGAAAAAAAGCAGAATCAGCAATAGGCGCAACGAAGTTAGAGCTATGTATAATATAACAAAAGTGTTAACCTGTATTCCTCAGGCTTTCTGCTGTACTTCCCAATTCACATCTGAAAAATGAAACACCAAGTTTTTGTGTGCTAAATTGGAATATCTAAGACTCTTAGAATTTTAATTTTGTTTCATAAGAACAAATTTAATCCTCAAGTACATATGTGTAATGAAATTCTTCCAAAAAATTCACAAAGGTGTAAATCAAAAATACAGATTCTGTGAAACCAAAACTGGAAGAAAGAAGATGAAAGGTAAATAGAAAAAAGGTTGTAATGAAATACCAACGGTGAAGGATGTATACATGACACTATTACAAGCAAAACACTGAAAGTATAACTGCATCAATCGATAAATGATCATGCGTAGTGAGTTCAAAGGGGAGGAAACTAGGAACCTCTTGAGTTAAAGTACAATTTATTCTGTCATGTAAAGAAAAATAATCAACGAAAGTGGGTAAAAACTGAAGTCATGAATTTTTAAAAAAATTAATGCATGTACCCGGTAAATCATTAATAGTTCTGTAAATGTGAAAAGTATCTTAGGCTGATTCTACAGAATTTTCTCTACATATTTACCATCATTATTTAAACTATATTCTCTTCAGCCACAAAAAACCCATACCATTAAAATATTAATAATTGCTTTTAAATAGCCCCAAAAAAGAAAAAGACTGATAGAATAATTTCATCTTTTTAAAATATCATTATAATAAAAGGACGTAGAATGAATTCAGCAGTAGTCAATAACCTGCATTAACTTAAAACAGTTCATACAGTGCAAATCTATATCTAGTTTCCAGAAACTGAAGCACATAACTATGAATACTAAATTCAAAGCTATTTCAGTTGTCTTTGGTCCTTCAAACCAACCTCTATTATCCTCCTGATTGCATATTACCTCTTTCCCTACAGGATCCCTAAGAACACCATCTAAGACTGATAAAAAAATAGATAGCAGTTACACCTTTCTGGATTTTAATAATATTTTCTGGATTTATGTCTGACAAGTTGAATAGTTTAAAATAAATGCAGTTAGTTCCTATAAACAATAATGTTTTTAACCTGATCCCTCCTAGTATAAGAAAAGACTAATAAATTGTCCATTACCCCTTAATTACCACAGGTCATATGTAAAGACTGGTTGAATCTATGTTGAATAAACTTGCAAGTAGAAAAATAGCTGTGTATAGACTTAGTTTAGGACACCCTCAAAAACATGTGCAATTAAAAAATTAGCTGTTTCCAAATGACATGTTGGTTTTGTCAGCCCCCCCCCCCTGTGTTTTTAATATGTTTACCATAAATAAACCATGACCATATTAAAAACATTTGCAATTAAAAAATTATCTGTTTCCAAATGACATGTTGGTTTTGTCCGCCCCCCCCCCCCCTGTGTTTTTAATATGTTTACCATAAATAAAGCATGACCATATTACATCAGTCATAAATGTATTGACAATTCATGTGAAGTAAAAACAAGGTCAAATCATTGAAATTGAATGTGGCTGATGTATTAAGTTTTAGCAAATGTAAAAAATCAAGGGAGATGCTTCAAAGCAATCAAATTGCGACTCAGAATAAAATCTTCATTTGGTTTTATTTGTAACAGGCAGTTAACTCAAATCTGTGCCCTACATGTCACAGCATAATGATTATTAAAGGGTTGTTCCTTTATGATCTGTATATAATGCTTGATATATTTTCCAATACAATAACAAATATAAGAAAATATGCATAATTTAGGGACGGGGTGGGATGTTAGAGAAAGAGAGGCAATATTACTCAACATATTAATCACTTTATCCTTATATGATTTTTAAAAAGAAATTTAATATAATTAACAAAAGATGTAAAGTTTGTCAATTTTTTAAAATCAAGTTATTCTTGTACTTAATCTTTAAAAAAAGTTATGGCCTATTAATTATATTGCTTAAATGCTGCATAACTCGTGTAAGTGAACTCATAAATTATTTTAATTGAGCCAATTTCATTAAGTGCCGCAAACAAAAATTTAGAGCATTTTTACAACACAAGATTTATCAAAACAAATAAAGAATACCAGCAAAGAGAGAATATTTTATAAAGCAATAACTTATGGTATATATTAAATTAAAATAGAGCTGAAGAAATTAGAAGAAGAAAAAAAAAAGGGGGGGGGATTGGTAAAAAGTCTGCCACCTATTTGCTATATTTGGGGAGTTCATCCATTGTGTTAAAAGAAAAGCTAACCAATAAGACTATTATAAGAAAATAAGTGTACAACACGAGAAGAACCAAATACTCAACAAAAAATTTGTCTTAATAAAAAATGACAAGATTTAAGAAAACCATATGTAGTGTAATGCTATGGTCTGGTTACTAATAAAATAAAAAAAATTACATTTAACTTGCCTCCAATCTGACCAGCAGCAGTTACAGGTGTTGGGGATGTATGCCCTGAAAGGTTGGAAATTCGCCCTTGCTCTTTCACTATGGGATCTGATAGAAGAAACAAGTTTTTTCTTCTTTAAAAAATAACATGAAGAAGACCAAATGTAAAACTGAATACATGAGATTCACGACTATTCCAACACAACATTTTCATTAAATTCTATGACCTAGTAAAATTAATTGTTTACAGATATAGCATAAACATGAGTAAATTATCTTAACAAGGAGTGTAATTTTAAATATTTATTTAAATGTCATAAATTTCTTTCTTTAGATTAAAATAACATGTTTAAATGACCCTTCTCTGCCATTAGCGCCTGCTGTTGCCCTCCCAAACTCCCATATGCACCTGCCTAATACGACAGACTGCAGTTTGTCGAGCAATCTGTCGTGAATGTCACTTGTTCAGGAGCCTACCAACTAAACTACAATACATTACTCAGCTAAAATTTACTGCTGCACTTGTGAGAATGACGCTACTTTTGAAAAAGAAATCCATGTTTTTATCTATTATCATGCTCAGCAACATGCAAAGTTTTCTAGACTAGCAAGTTCAGATGATGACACATTTGAACAGAACATTGTGGACTTTATTGAAATTAACATATAAAGTAATATAAATGATCTTTTAGTTAAATCTTAATCAGACTTTAAAACATGAAAACTAGTACATCAGTAGATAATATATGGTAACACCTGGTAAAATTTTAAAAATTCAGTCAATTTCAGATATTAAAATTGAAAGGTCACTCTCTAAACAAACATATATTTTAAAAATTATAAAATTTCATTTTTATATTTTAAAACAATTCAAATTACAATAACTTTTAAGATCTTTTTTAAATTAACATACATTTTTTAATGTTCTTTGGCTCACTGAGTTTATGATAAAAGTAGATTAAACAGTTATAAGTTTAAGTGCATGTCTGCATTCAACAGGTACGAACAAGCCTGTTTAATCATTCAGTGAGAGATTGACTTAACCTGGTATAAGTCTACCCCCTTAAAACTCTCCAAACTAAGTAAATTCATGCAATTGTGTGAAGTTGAGTAAGATTTGTGAAACCTACAGAAATAAGGATGTTCCATAGCATCTCTAGCTGTTAGACGGTCATTGTGGTCATAGCGTAGAAGCTTATCTAGAAAATCTAATGCTTCAGGACTGACAAGATGCTGATTTTCACTGTGCACAAATCTCTCCCACCGTTTTCGAGAGTGCCTGTGGAAAATGTTTTCTTATCATTACTGTAATTTTGTAAAATTATGATGTATAAACACCATATTAAATGCAGCCGATTTTAGTTATTTAGATATGAGACAATAATGATTTTCAAGTATAATTCCAAAAAAGGAAAAACAAAAGCTTACTTTTTCAAATTTTTATATGAAGAATTCTTTTCATTAGGATATAACATGAACTTAAATATACCCTTTATTGCAACAATATGGATGATATTTAGCAAAGATTCCACCAATGGTAGTATGATAGAGACTTTTCATTAATTTTGCATAAACATCCTCTTACTATACATCAGTATATGCACATTTTATAATGTACTTTTGACAATTAAATGCAACAATTATTTGTGATCTTTCTAAAGAATTTATTAATAAATTTCAGCTCATACCTTCCTAATATGTCATTAAATCTTGGGTCCAAATCTATTTGGTACTTTTCAATGTAGCCATAGAGATCATCTGTTCCCAGCACCTTGGCAATTCTCACCAGCTGCAAAATTAATGCAAGGACTATAGAGACTAATTTCGTCTAGACTTACAAAAAAAATAACAGACAGAAACTAGTGAAAACATAAAATGCAGCCGATTTGGGTTATTCAGATATGGGACAGCTTACAATACACTTACCTGATCATAGTTATCATGCCCATGAAAGAATGGCTCCTTCCTAAATATCATGCTAGCAAACATGCAGCCAAGGCTCCACATATCTAATGAGTAATCATACATCTGTAGGATTAAAAAGTTGATTTATTACTAAATAAAGCTCTAAATAAAATTGAAACAAATATTTTTTTTGGTAATAAAAGAATTCTTGACTTACAAAACATTCAGTAGTCAGTCACTTACCTGATAATCTAACAAGAGCTCTGGCCCTTTGAAATATCTAGATGCAACACGTACATTGTATTCCATGCCAGGATGGTAAAATTCAGCTAAGCCCCAATCAATCAAACGAAGCTGAAATATTTTTAAATGGATACAAAATTTTAGGAATACAATCTGAATTAGAAATGGAAAATTAAAACAGTAAAATGTATTTCCTTATATTAGGCATAACCTGATGGATGAACATGAAGAATACAAAACTAAAAAACTAAGGGATGAACAATTCATCACAGAACCAAAAAAAAAAAAAACACTTTGAAAACAAACCTTTCTGTTTTCGTGATCAATCATCACATTGTGAGGTTTTACATCTCTGTGCATAATACCCATGCTATGACAATAGTCCAAAGCCTGAAATATAGATAATGAACAAGGTTAAATAAATTATAGCTAAATAAGATGATTAAAGAGATTAACTAATTATGACGTTGTCTATTATAATGGTCAAGAAAATACATATTGCATACATCCTGCCATTCTCTATTAACTGGGTAAAATTAGTTCAAGAAATCAATGATGATATAGAACTACGTTCCTGAAGGATTTTAATACCAATTTGTATCTTACAATATTGGTTGGTTATTTGCTAATTGACAAGTCTGTCATGGGTAATTAAGATTTATTTTCATAGTTTTGCTTCTTTACTTAAACATTTGTTCAAAATAATGGCTCACATAGTATACAAAAATGTACTCTCAATATATAATAAAACACGATTTTAACTTAACACCTTTCAGACCACCTATATAATATTATAGAATAAAGTATTCCTCTAAGAAGACCTGCACATGCAGCCCGCCAGCACCCATTTTGTGGCCCGCGAAATTTTCTTTATTCTTAGCATTTTCTTAATAGCTTTCCCCCCGTCCTATTTTCTTTTGGCCTGCACAAGTCCTGTCCTATATTCTTTTGGCCGCACAAGTTTTTCATAAAGTATTACGGCCCGCCTTACATTTTGAGTTATGCAGGCCTACTCTTAGATCACAATACATCCTGAGCAGCTCTATCAGGTTATAAATGAGAATGTATTTAGATTCATCCCACACTGGTAAAAATGAATGTGTCAGCATTATATATATTTTATGATGAATTAATGAATAAGATTAAAAAGCTAAATGTCTTGACGTCATATGAAGTGTTTTACAAATGACTGGGAGGGTAACCAAACAGATTAGTGTTACAGTTAGGAGCAATTATTGGATTTGTTATATTATTATTTCCAAGATAAATATTCTTTATAACTGTTTGTGAGAAGTTGTTGTACTATTTTTAGTGTCCTGTTTTCTTTGTTGTTCTTTCAACGCCTGGATTATAAAATCATCATAGAGAGGCACTGCCCTGTATTAGTCACAATTACAACAATATATGTACCAGCCAGACCCTAATAATAACATTTGTTCTGTAACGAAGAGTAATGTCCATTAACATGTCAATAATGGCTTTATTAAAGTTCAATTCAATAAAGAAGTTTACACACGCCTTTAAAAATTGAAATTACTTACCTTTAACAATTCATAAAGGTAGAAACGTATATCATAATCTATGAAAGTCTGGTAAAGTTGCTGTAAAAAGAAATATGTTGTATATTTCAATTTTTTTTTAAAGTTCATTTCATAGAGTACATTATAGTATCTCATGTTTAGAAATGATTTCCAAGAGTATAATGAAGAGAATGTCAAAATTAGCAAACTCAGCATCAGAAATATCAGTAACGTAGGTAACAACAAGCTTGAATACAGTCTGAAGTCAGTTTTAAAAATATTAATGCATTGCAATAATTTATAATTTTAAATTTCTTACCTTAAAATCTGTGTTGTTAACGTGCTCGAATATGAGAGCTGGAGTGCGTGACTGAAAATATAAGTATATATTTCTAAACCCATTTTTAAAAAAATATAATTTGTTAAAGAAATTTCTATGCCAAATATCTCATTTAAACAATTATAAATCCACCATTTCTCTTTTATAATAATATTTAATCCCTTTAAGTATCCAACATGTAATTAAAAAAATCATGTGATTAACTTATTTACCACAGGATCTTTGACTATTGCCAACAATGTTATGACATTAGTACCGCCCCTGAGGTTTTCTAAAATCTTGATTTCTCTCTTGATTTTCTTCTTTTTGACAGGCTGTAAAAAAAATATTACTTTAAAACAACATAAAAAATTGAAAATAAACAACCAATCTCACACCTTATTATACCAATTGAGATAACCTTTAACTTATATAAGTAAGTGTACAAAATTAAATAGCTTAAATGCAAACCTTGAGTATCTTTATCACACATTTTTCATTATTTGTGACATTTACTGCTTCAAAGACCTCACTATACTTTCCTCTGCCTAACTTTCTAACCACCTGATAATCATCTTGATTTCTGAAAAGACAGCATCAAAATAATTTTAAAAACTGTCATTATTAGGCTTAAATTTAAAAACAGCTATGTCTATTGCTCTCAGTATCTCATGAGAATAATTGTGTTATTTTATATTGCAATTCCACGACTTTGCTCATGCACCACTTATTTCAAATAATTGATAAAAAAAAAAAAAATACTATAAGTTATTAAAACCTGAATGAGCTCATATCTTTCAGTAAAAGAGCTATGTAATGTTTAATTTATTTAAGATGTTAAAATCGTATCAGGGAAATTACACAAAGTAGTATTTTCAATTAATATTTACTTTCTTAAAGGCCTACTCAAAACTTTTTTTTCAATACTTACCCCCAATCAACAACGTGTGATTCATAATCCCAGTATTCTCTTGGTTTGTGTGTGTTTATATCTGCATAAACACGAGCTCTACTTGGTAGAGGCATTTTACTGCAGGCTAAAGCTCGTGGGACAAATTTGCCCCCCTCTGAATGAAAACTTTCAAAAAGTTTTCGCCCAAAGAGTTCTAATGTAGAAAAATGTAATCGCCGAATTATATCTATGTCTGTTTTTTTTTAATGTCACTGAAAATAAAAAAAGTAATATAAATTTATAAAGACAGAATGTTTTTATTCTAAATGTAAAGAAAACAAAATCCTAAATGATAAGTTTAAGATTAGATCTTCAATTTACCGTAATAAAAACTAATCACTGAGCCCATGCATGGCACGGTCTTCAAACTTTAAAAATTTTGAATGCTAAGAAAATATTTTGAGAGCCACAGACAAGGGCAAAATGTTTTAATGTCAACAGAGATTAGTAAAGGAAAAAAGGAAAAAAAAGATCCACATCTACACATTCAAAAAGCTGTATCCCCCTGGAGCAACGGTTGCCTACCACTGGCTATATCAACTATCTATATGGACATGGACTATGAAGGAATAGGATACTAACCCCGATAATCTGTTTAAAATTTGATTTCTAAAAGCGATAATCATTCTCCACCTAATTTCAAATAGGCCTACAAAGTTTTAACCAATTTAAAAATGATGAATGATGATATGCATGAAAAGTCAACAAAATAATTATCTTAAGCCTACAATTTTGTAACCCCATTAATAATACTGTTTATCATAATTTTTTTTAACACTGGAGGCCAATCCATGACCATGAAAATTCAAATCTTATTCAGTAAATATGTATCGAGGTATTCAGCTCATTCAATCAATCTTTGTTAGTTCCTTCTGTTAAAACAAAACACAACCTATGCCTTTGGTTAGTGCTAGGACTAAGTCTTGGCCCTATTTAATATTTTTTTATTAAAAATTGGTTAGTAGTTAAGAATTAAGACGAATCATGATTTTAAATTCAATGAATGAACTATCAGTATCAGACTGAATGAATGCACTTCATTAAAGACCTAGGACATCAGCTTTAGTAGCAGTAGTATGTTACAGTATCAGTATGTAAGCTTTCTCATCATCAGGCAGTTGGCTACTTTTAGAATTTTGTCTTGCTAAGGCCGAGAGATGTAACAATAACTAAAATTAATAATTAGCAGGTAATAGGTTTAATCATCACTGGTGGGAAAAACAATACAACAGTTGACAACAGTGAACAGCTAGGCCCAGCCTGCATAATGAATTGAATAATCCCATGTGGATGATGTGGGTAGGTGGTCTTTGTCTAATCTTGTAGTGGGGATTAGCCATTACAATTCAAGATAAACATGAACTTTATCAACACCAAACAGATGCATATTTTAGTGATCGGCAGCAATAAATGCTAGGCTACACACACTTGATATTGAGCATAGATTTATTCAGGACAGTGTGTGTCCAGCAGTGTTGCAAAAAGAAAAAGAGACTGGAAAAGTTTTTTTTTTTAAAAACGCACCTGGACACTTGGTCCTCTAATATTTAAAAATGTAGAGGTTACGAGTCGAAAGTAAGAATCATTACGTCACACTTCAAGCTCGTGCTAACCACAAACATGGTTCACACGCTCAAGTTGTAAGTCTATGGTTTGAATGTGTCAGGTTTATCTACATTTTAGAGGAATTTTTTCACAAGATGGCGACCGTCGTAGTTCATCGAGAAAACGAGGCTACTAACCATTCTAGTTCCGGTGAGGATTTAGTTCCCCCTGAAATACGGTAAACTTTTTGGATTTATAAAAACTGGAATTCAAAATATTTGGAAAATGAGTTAGATTTAAAAATTAAAATTTTCATGTCGAACATGTTTGAACTTTATTTACGGGAATTTTTATAAAATCTGAAATAAGCTGAGACGTCTAGAAACTGCCACTTTTCTGTTTTTCGTCTCTTTTCATTCAAGTAGTTCGCTTATTTTGCGTTTGTAATTTGTAGTGATGTTAGTAATTTTACTTAAAATTTTTAACACATAAAAATAAAAGTGAAACATTTCAAATCATTTAATGATCCACTTAAAAGGGAACACCGAGCTCTTTGAGGCTCGCGAAATTTGCGATTAATTAGCTGTTATCAAGCTCAGCTCTAATTTCCTGCTCGATTGATATCATTGATAACTGGCAAAGCCTCTCCTGTGTCATAGTTGAGCGTGAGTAGGATTTGATAAGCTTCAGTTTAAAGAAATTGCTGCTCTTCGTTTGCAACACTGACATGCATTGAAAGGATGATTTGCAAAGCGACTATCACAGAAATATTAGAAAAGTGTGTGTGTACGTGTGTTCGATTGTACGTGTGTGTGTGTTTTGTGAGATGGGGGTTAGGGGGAAAGACTCAATTTTTATTTCTGAAATGGAACAGACAGTTTCTATATAACTGATTAATATCAAATCAATTAAATATTTTTTTTAAAATCTTTTTTTAAAATCGTCTTTAAACTTTATGCAGGGTTTTTCCGAGGAAAAGCAGCACCCGGGGCGAAGCCTGAAATTGACGCCCCTCATAACATAAACGTGTCACATAGTAAAAAGACGATTTTGGCACCCGTTGTGTTTGTGAAGTACATGGGATTTAATAGTTTAAAACACTATTAAGGTCCACTGTAAAAAAAAATCACACACACTTTTTTGGTACCCCTTATGATGGCGCACGGGGGAGAGTGCCCCCCCCCTTTCGCACGATCCTGGGGTTATGTTCAATCCTTTCATGTTCAGCTAAACAGATGTGCCGTTAGTCTAGGAAACAGCACAAAAACATCTGACTTGGAAACTGCCTTTTGTATTCCACCGGTTGAATGATGAAACTTTTTAAATCCAATTAAGTTACAACAATGTAAGGTCATTATCAGTCTCTGACTGATTTCTTCTATCATGAGGTAACAAAGACTAAGGGTAACATTGACAGAAGTCATCGATTATATAAACTTTTAAAGAGAACCGGGTCTAGAATTGAATTGCACATACAATTTTATTCTTTAAAGCCACATTTAAAATTACTATTTAAGAACGTCTCCTCGTTATGAGTTTTTTCCGTGTTGTTTTTTTTTTTAAATTTAATTTGAGCTTGTGTTTTTTTGGTCCCCCACAGGAAGTTCTTTGAGCCAATTGAATTGTTAAAAGGAATCAAAATCCCGCTTTAACATAACTCAAACAATTTATTTTCTGTCATCTCTACATCATTGAAAAAAAAAACCACCAAAACAACCGACCATTGATGCCAAAGTGCGCTTGTGTTGGCCGTTTAAACATTTAATATATTCTTTCTTTTCTTATAAAAACTTTTTTTTTCTCATTTTGCCAAGGCTGTTTTTTTTTTTTTTTTTTTTTTAAAAAAATTTTTTTTTTTTATTTTTCCCAAGGCTTTTTTTTTTTTTTTTTTTTTTCAGTTCCAATGTTCGACTCAACACATTCCCTGCCCTAAGGACATGTGTTAAGATAAGGGACGGTTTCCTTTATTATTCTAGCCGCAATATTTTCTACCTGGCCGGCTCAAGGCACCGGCAAATCGTGCAGTTGCCCGGGGCGCCACACGCTTAGGGCGTCATCGGAGATCTTGAAAAAAATATGAAACAGCCTTGCATGTGGGCGCCATGTAGGAAACACTTTTTATTGCCATTTGTTTGTCTGTCATATTACGTGAATAGTATTTTTGTGCAGGGGAAGTGGCGGTAAAAGTTGCTGCTGATAAATGCGGCCGCTTCCTTTTGTAGGTGCATTGAGTTCTTTGACCTTTGCCACGGCGCCCGTTACTGGTGACAGTGACTTCGAATTAGCTGTCTCGGCGCATTGCTCATTGATAGACCTCTTTTGCGACGACTTTGGTCGTTTGGCGGTGACGGCGATAGGCGTTTGTAGGCCCGCCCCTGAGGAAGTGGCGACTACGAATTTTCTGCTCAGATGAGTTTGGAATCGAATTTTGAGTTATGCAGAATAGTGCGTACTCAGCGCTCTATAGCGAATATACTTGGTGCAATCCCTCTATTTTCGAAGTTTAGTTTCATTACTAAATAATATATTAAAGTATATTGATTATAATTATTTATGTAACATATTCCACTCGGTAAGCAATGTATTTCTCTATGCAAAAACTTGGTAACTTGTGATATGAAGCAGAGACACTTGTATCACAAATAGAAGATTATGTTTTTAAGTTGATGATACATGTCTGGTATGATATCAGTACTATTAGACAGGTTAAATGTTTTCAGCCAAACGACACAGGACGGCTCTTTTGAAATAGCTACTGCAGTTTCTCTAGTGAAAAGTGTCACTGATTGCTTAATTGATTATCGTTGAAATGGATTTGGACATTTACTAAGAGTTACAAACAAAATAACTACATAATTAGATGTAGAGCCCATTTTTAGAAATAAAAGAAGAAGGAAGCTGTTTGACTAGGATTGCACTGACGGGCTTCCAAATGCGGATGACCCAGAATTTCAAAAAAAGCAACCAAAAAATTTAAAAAAAAAAAAAGCATACGTCAATGTTATACTGGGCAATACAATAAATGTTTTATCACATAGATTTCAGCAGTTTAAAAAATTCAGTAACACATTGGGGTGTTTTAAACTCTGCCATACAAAGATAAGCTCAGAGAAGCATGTCAAAGTTTGGAGAATAAGTTAAAGTATCAAGAAAATAGCGATATAAAGGGATGTGATCTGTTGACTAATCTAGATACAGCCAAAGAATTATTTCCTTATGGTATAAAGCTTCCAATAGGAGCTGCTAAATTCATTACCACTAATAAGTTACAGGATTTCATGCCAAATCTCTGGGTAGCATTACGAACAATGTTTACAATACCTATTACGGAAGCCGCTGGCGATAGCAGCTCTTGTAACGCTTATAAAAAAAAACATATTTACGATCATCCATGTCTCAAGGCAGAATGAATTCTTCGGCAATGTTGTGTATAGAAAATGATGTTGCAATGAATTCGAATATAGAAACTGCAAATGTCATCGTTAAGCTAATTGTCCATACTGTCCAAATACACGTTTTAAAAAACAACATCATTGTTCATTGTTTGTTTTTAAAAACAACCTAGGTAATAAACTAATCATTGAAAAAATGTTCCTGATGATACTTAAAAGGGACGCAAAAGATACACTTGCCCGGGGCG